CTATCTATCTATCTATCTATCTATCTATCTATCTATCTATCTATCTACCTGGTTTCTGATTACTGACTGCTGGATGCCCAGTCACAAGCCTGTACTCATATAGATAAGTTCCTACTTGTGACTTTTCCATTGTTTTGGAATTGAAGTATTTCTCCCCATGGAATTTCTGTGCCTTACCCATAAACACATAAAGATACAGTGGACACATATTAGTCAGGATTCAGGAGTGGTTGAAGCCGCTGACACTGGATCTAGAAATGGTTTAGACGACTTGTAAGGGAACCTTCTCAGCCGCAGCTGCTGTCCCTAGCCTGTCTGTCACCATTAATGTGACACCATTAGCCTATCTGGAGGACAGTGCACACCATGCTACCTCATCTTTTCTTTATTAGAGGCAGCATACAAAGAATCACCTTACTTCCCCAAGCGGGAAGCACGACCCTGGGCTGTAACCATCTCTTGACTTGCTAGTCACTCTAAAGAGGCTGTCCAGGCAGCAGTCTCCTCTTGACACCGCTGGAGATCAGGTGTTGAGGTGAATATTGATGGAATCAAGGAATTTTCAAGTCTATATGACATTGTGGTTCACCTCTCTGAAGCCTGAATCTTGACATGGGAACTTTACTAATTGCTACTGACCTTAAAGGCACAGAAATAGTGTAGCATTTGATATTGGCTCAACTACCATTGCAGGAGAAAATACAGGATGTCTACTTCTACCTATATATTAGATCATTAGCAAATACTCTGTAGTTGAATTTCCCAGACAGGATTTGGGACATACCTTTATTAAGGTGTACTAAGGTTTTTCCTGTTTATTTTTTTAATTTTTTTAAAAATAACTGGTAACTGGATCTAGATCTGTGGTGTTCAGAGACACCGTATACACGCCCTGGCTACTGACCAGTAACATTTCATGAAACTTAGGACAGCCTAAGACAATGTTCTGAGGGCCCTGTGGCTGAGAAGGTAAAAAACAAAAAGAATGAAGGTTCATCCCGGGAGGAGATAGACGCATAAGTCCTTGAGTTCTGATGGGACCTTTATCACATTGATGTTGAATTTTCTGATTGGTAAATGAAAGCAGAGCCAGCATACTATAATCTTTCCACATCTTTCTTTCCACAAGACCCTAGCAGGGCAGTGAGAAGTGGTCTTAGGGGGTGTCACAGAGTGGTGGGATTTCACTAATAGGCACCTAATACCCCGAATATCTGGGACTATTTTCTAGTAGAGGATAGGAGCTTGTGGAAGTAGATGAAGGACTTATATTAGGAGCCTGAATCTCATTGTCAGCCTGGCCTTGATGGCTGGGTGAGAGCAGTTTGCTCATGACGTTACCCTCCTCGTGAGATTACAGTAGACAGATACTACTGTTGCCCCAACTGTAGACTCATGACTCACACACGGGGAAAAGCCTAGAGTTCATCAGACTCTGATTGCCTAAGTCAGGTTGCAGGCCATCCCCCCCTTCCTGCTAATTGCTAGTGCATATACTCTAGCTGGCAAAGGCATCTTGTCTTTTCTATGTGGGCCTATGTGGTTCTACCACATGTTGGACTGGCATATCAGAGTTTTGTCAGGGTCAATATGAGATCCTTCTTTGTATCCATGGGAAACTATTCTGAATCTGGTTTGAGGACCAGCCTAGTTGCTGTGACTCAGAATCTGAGCCATCTGAGACACCCTGTCAGCTAGAAGGCCCTGACCCCAAAGAAGACTAACCTTCCTTCTTGGGCTAGGCGTGTGGCTTAGGTGTCTTATGGTGGTTTGATGGCCCAGTGAGAACAAAGTTCCTGGCATGGAGGTGCTGGAGTTATTGTTGTCATATGGATGACAAACTGCGTTGACAGAGAGAGTACACTGTCTATCTCTGGAGAGTCTGTCACTGGCTTAAGGACCTGAATGTTATATCCTACACTCTGGGGTCAGCAACTGCAACAAAGCAAATCCTTCTCATGAAAGCATCTCACCATCTACATCCCATTGCTGATTTTATATCCATTTCTAGCATCACCACACGCTTAACTCCCTGGAGCGTAGCCAACTCTGTTTCCATGAAAAGTCAGGTCCTTGATGCATACACATCATCATTGCTCAGGGACTTAACCCACAGTGTCAACTCACATTCGTAAGCGATTTCCCTGAGGTATATCCCTAGCCTGCTCTTTCATTCGACTTGAGAGTCAAGAGAGTAGAAACAAAGGGGATGTCCAGAAGGCCTTTTTGCTATGTGGATGAAGAGCCACCTTGTAGTAGAGACCACATTCAGGTCTGTCCCTGGAGTCTGTCATCTGCAGAAGAACATGTGTGCTATTCTCCATACTCAGAAGCCACCAGAAGGCATCAAAGAAAATTCTTACTGCCCGCCCCCAAATGCACATCCTCATTTCTGATTGTGTCCTTCCAGCACTCCCACAACAGAAGGTAGCCTGTGAGTGTTTCCAGAGAGATGTACTGAAGGTGGAGCGGCAGCACCCAGGAACCGTGGACTGAAAAGTTTGGGCTAAAGGGAAAAGGAGAAAGCTGGTTGAGCACAGGTGTTCCTCTAGCATGTGTTCTGGGCAGCCATGATGGGAATAAAATGCTCCACTCCTACTCCCACTGCCATGAGGCCCTGTCTCATGATGGTTAGGCCAAAACAAACCTCCAGGTGCCCACGGACTGAGTCCTCTGAAACCATGAAACAGAATAAATGTTTTTGAAATGGCATTTTGGTTGCAAGGATGAAGAGCTAATTAACACAGCATGCCTGATTTGCATCACAAACCCTGGTGTGGTACAGCATTTAAGAATAAGGAAGTAAGCTGACGAAGAATGTATTTATTCTGAAAAGGATACAGCATCACTTCAGCAGTAGTTGCTGCAGACACTGCCCTTTCTCCGCTCAGCTGTCTTCCTATCAGTGTCTTAGAGTGGCTGCGCATGCGCTTCCCTTTCTCAGTCTTTCCTGTGCCTCCCCATTCCTGTTCTCAGAGTGCTTTAGCTAGGAGTGGTTGGTCAACTGAAAACAAACTCCACTTTTGGTGTGTGCTTTTGGTTTTGTTTTGGTAACTTTTTGTCTTATTGGACTGGATTTATTTTTTCTCTTTTGCATATTGTTTGAGAGAAAGAGGGTATTGGGCATGTAGGTAAGTAGGCAAGTGGTGTCTGGGAGTTGTGGGAGGGGAAAGGACATGATTAAAATACGTTGTATGAAATAGTTTTGCCCTAGCATTTTTGTCTCTCGTTCTTTTTTTTTTTTTTTTTTTTTGTCACTGGCTTTCTTTCATAGAGAGAGTTCCATTTCACCCTTTGCCTGTAGACATTCTTCTCCCTTACCCCAAACACACTGTGGGAAATAATTGATCTTTACCAGGAGTTCAGTTACCATCACTGTCATAAGCAAGCTGGCACACACATGTGAGTTCATTTTTGAAACTTAATCTCTGCTCCATAGATTTCCTCCTTCTCCCTCCCACCTTTCCCTTCCACAGCTCAGGGAGAAGATGTGCAATGGAGGACCTGAGCCACTCAGCTTTGGACTTCCCGAGACACTAGGGCCATTCTGTCCCTTCAAGTTTCCTTGAAGTCTAGATCCTTAGCCATAGTTCTGAATAGTCCCATAATGTTTACCGGTTGCTACGGGAGAAAAGGGCTTTGTTTTGTGACTATCACCATTGTCACCTACTTAAATCTTCTAGTCTAGGAAAGTGAAATCTCCATTTACATAAAATTTACTTTTGAAATGGGTTGTGCTAGTTAGGAGATAAAACTTGTGGTTTTTTTTGTTTGTTTGCATTACATCTAAAGAATTTTGTCTTTCTTTAAATGTTACAGTAAGTAGAATTGTTCAGTCCTTGCATCAGAGAATGTTTTTCTAAAACAGCAACAGGTATACCCCCTTTCCATGGGGCTGCTCTCAGGAAAGCATGTCTAGAAACAGTCCAGGCTAGCAGAATATCCTTCACATATTCACTTAATGTGAGAAAGAGGGCAAGAGTCTCCCCAGGGCCAGCTTGACGTCCTTGTTCCTCAGTGTATAGATGAGGGGGTTCAGGGTTGGGCTGAGCACTGAGTACAGCACCGAGGTCACTTTGCTTCTTTCTGGGCTGTAGCTGGAGGCAGGACTGATGTAGGCACAGAACACAGACGAGTAGTACACACAGACCACGATGAGGTGGGAGGAGCAGGTAGAAAAGGCCTTCCTCTTGCCCTCAGCAGAACGCATGCGCAGGATGCTGGCGATGATGCAGCCATAGGAGAGTAAGGTGAAGAAGAAGTTGATGCCTCCATAAAAGGCATCTGCCATAAGAGTCATAATGCTATTAATACGTGTGGGGCTACAGGAGAGGAGGAGAAGTGGGGGGATCTCACAGAAGAAGTGGGTGATGACGTTGGGGCCACAGAATGACAGCTGTGTCATCAGGCCAGTATGGACAGATGAATTCAGAGCACAGATGGACCACACAGCCATGGCCAGGGCCCCACACAGGTGTGGGCTCATCCTAGAGCTGTAGTGCAGGGGATGGCAGATGGCCACGTAACGGTCATAGGCCATGACTGTGAGCAACAGCAGCTCAGAGGATGCAGACCAGACAAGGAAGAAGAGCTGGGTCATGCACCCCTTGAAGGAGATGGTGTTTTCCTTAGACACAAGACCAATCAATGCCTTGGGCAGCACAGAGGAGGTGCAGACAATATCCATGGTGGCCAGGTTGCACAGGAAAAAGTACATGGGACTGTGGAGCCCAGTGCTGGAAGTGACCAAAGCAATGATGACAATGTTGCCTGTTAGAGCCATTGTGTAGAGAGTCAGGAAGCAGCCAATCAGGAGCAGTCGTAGACTAGGGTGCTCTGAGAACCCTTCCAGCACAAACTCTGTCACCATTGTCTGGTTGGGACTCAACATCATGATGGAGAGTATGTGTCCACTGCTGTGTCTGCTGGGTTCTGAGGAAGCACCAGTTTACCACTTCAAAGTAGGCTTTCCATACTTGGTCATCTCAAGGTTCTCTGCTGTCAGAAAGGAAAGGAGTGAGTGTATTTCCTTCATGGGAGCCTCTTGTCCTTTATTGTCTATATCATATCATTTGAAATCACAGATATTTCATTTACCTTTTATTTCCTATCTAGAAACTTTCACCCTGTAGATTTAGATCAAGAGGGACATCTGTTCCTCCCTCATCTTGAACATATGGGTTGATTGTAGCATCTCCCTCTCGAGGCCTGTCTATGCTCCACTTATCAGCCCCCTAGGAGCATTGTGCCTACGACAGTGCTGGAAACCCAGTTGTCCCCTCCCTTCCACAGCCGTTATTGTCCACACAATGACAATTTCTGATTGACAAACACTGAGATGGCTCTTGTATCTGTCTTCACACCTGCCTTTCTAGCCTCTCAGGCACTCTTTTTGTTGTTGTTTAAGTATATGGAGTGGTTGCTCTATGACCCATTTCAACCTGATAATGGTGTCCTCCATGACCTAGTAGCCATGTATTTTCTGTAATTTACTCATTGCGATCTGTGACTTGTCCTTAACTTAGAGTTGTCCTGACTCTAACCCACTTCAAATCTATCACCCCAGAGAGTATTTCTCAAAATCCAAGCCTATAAAGTCAAAGTACTTCTGGGGGATTTTCTGTCTCAGTGAACCACAGTAACACCAACGTCAACATACGCACAGCTGATGTCATAACCATTGTCTATAGCTGTCCTTGTGCGGTGGTAATGACCTTGCGCAGAAACTTGCCCCCAGCTACCCAGTGTTTCAAGATGCTTATTTTATGGAGCTCCATTTCTCAGACTCATGGTCTTACCTTTAGTCTATGCCCTTGGTAGATCCTCATTAGATTCATGTTCCATGAATCAAGCATGTGTTCTGCATCTTCTTACCTCTTTCATCCAATTGGTTCTCAAAGTCTGCCACTGTAACTTTCCCAACAGTATACCCCATGTTTCCAATTTCTTTAGCTCTTTCATAACTTCTGGATTCTTTTCATTTCCCATATCTCCAGTTTCCTCCTCCATCACCCCAGGAATACAGACTGTGTACCTTGAGATAACAGTCTTCCTGCCTCTAGTCCAAATTCACTGTTTCTCTCCCCCATTCTTCAGCAAATCATGCCCTGTAGCTTGACCCAGAAGACTCCCCTGACATCAGCCGTTAGCCTTTTTTTATCGGTCCCTGCACCACTTCATATGTGAACACATTCTACCCCATCTATGAACCTGCCTTGAAAATTATTTGCAGTGCCTCTAATCTGGAGACGGTCTTTGTTTTTCAGCAGTCTTTAGGTGAAATGTTTCATCTACAGAATCCAGTGGCACTCCCTTCCGCACTTTGCTCTACCCCAGGCTCTACCCCAGAGAACAACACCTCTTTTTCTGTTGTTCACCTTTTATCTCACATACATTTATCAAAGTATAGCTCACAACTTATTTTCTCCCTAACTCCATAGTAAATGTTGAATTTTAAACATTATAGCTTCTTCCATTTCAAACTAAAGATATTCAAATATTGTATTTGCACGATAGAACCATGTGGATAATATTATGTCTTACCTTGTCCCCTCCCCTCCTCCATTTTATGGTACTAGAAAACACCAATGCATATTGAGTGGTGCAAGCGGTTTTGGAGAAACAGAATTACCAAAGTGAATTTTTCTAGTGTTTTTGAAAGTTTCTGGATTTGTCTAGCTAATTCAACTACACCTGAAATTGTGAAATCCTCTCCTGATAATATTTATAATCTATGTGTGATATTAACCACTATTCCCAGGGTACACCTGCCTCAGAGTACAGGGAGTTTTCATTAAGATTAACCGTAGGGTGACCTCAGAGGAACTTTGAACCACAGGCTGCAGCTATACACAGCAGACCAAAAGGTGAATGATCAACCAGCCAGCTGGACACCCCATTCTCTAGGCCCTCAGTAAGGGGCAAAGCCCCAGGCTCCTTTCCCATCTGCTTCAGCTTCTCTAGCCAGCCAGTAGGTGACGTTCTAGCAGTTAGGCTGCTCCAACCTTCCCCCCATCAATCCAACCCTGTAAGCGACAAGGCCCACTCCGCCCCCAAACCTATCCATCTCCTGCGACTTTGGAGGAACTCTGAACCGCAGGCTGCAGCGGCACACAGTGGACCAAGAGGTGAGTGCTCAACCAGCCAGCTGGGCACTCCACTCTCTAGGCCTTCAGTACCGGGGCAAAACCCCAGGACCCTCCCCCACCTGCCCCAGCTTCACTAGCCAGCCAGCAGCCAAGCTTCCTGCAGGTGGGCTGCTCCAACACCTCCCCACCCCCATCCATCTGACCCTGTAAACTAGAAGGCCCATTCCACACTCAAACCTATCCATCTCCTGTGACCTCAGAGGAACTCTGAATCACAGGCTGCAACAGCACACAGCGGACCAAGAGGTGAGTGATCAGCCATCCATCCATCCAGACAGCCCACTCTTTGGGCCCTCAGTAAGGGGGCAAAACTCTGGCCCCCTCCTCACCTCTCCCAGCTTCACCAGCCAGCCAGCAGGCAAGCTTCCAGAAGGTAGGCTGCTCCAACACGCCCCCTCCATCGATAGGACCCTGTAAGTTACAATGTCCACTCTGCCTCCAAAGCCATCCATCTTCTGCGACCTCAGAAGAACTCTGAACGACAGGCTGCAGCTGCACTCAGAGGACCAAGAGAGACCCCAGTGGTCCCTGAGATACAAACAGTGACTGCACAAAGTAGACCAAGAGCAGCTCCCTAAGACACAGACAGCAGCTGCAAGGACTGGACAAAGAAGCAAAGACACTGACAGCACCAACTGGAGGAAGAGATGGGTAGGCGCCAACGCAAAAAAGTCATTCAATAACCTAAAAAGCAACATGGTAACATCAGAACCCAGCGGTCATGCAACAGGAACATCTGACTGTCCTAACCCAGAAGAAGCAGAGGAAAATGATCTTAAATATGACTTTATGAAGATGGTAGAGACCCTTAAAGAGGAAATGAAAAGTTCCCTTAAAGAAATAGAGGAAAAGACATACAAAAACCAGAAGAAATCAATAAATCTCTTAAACTCAAGAAAACCAAGAAAAGGAAGACAAACGGGTGAAGAAAACAGTTCAAGACTTGAAAACTGAAATAGGAAGCAATAAAGAAAACATAAACCAAGGGAATTTGGGAAATGGAAAATCTGGGTAAACGAACAGGAACTACAGAGACAAGTATAACCAACAGACTACAAGAGATAAAAGAGAAAATCACAGGGGTTGGAGATACTATAAAAGAAATCAATTCCTTGTGTCAAAAAAATATTAAATACGACAAATTCTTAACACAAAATATCCAGGAAATCTAGGACACCATGAAAAGACCATGGAAATAATCTTTCCATTATTAATAATGGAAATAATTATTCCATTATTATTAATTATGGATTATTATTATTATTAATTATTATTAAATAATTATTAATAATGGAAATAATATTCCATTATTCTTAAGAATAATAAGAATAGAAGGAGATGAACTCCAGCTCAAAGACACAGAAAATATATTCAGCAAAATCATAAAAGAAAACTTTCCCACCCTAAAGAAGGATACACCTATGAAGGTACAAGAATCTTACAGAACACCAAATAAACTGGCTAAAAAAGTCCCTTTGCCATATAATAATCAAAACACAAAACGTACAGAATAAAGAAAAAAGGGCAAGTAAACATATAAAGGTAGACCTATCAGAATTACACCCATCTTCTCAATGGAAGCCATGAAAGCCAGACGGTCCTGGACAGATGTGCTGCAGACACTGAGAGACGACAGCTGCAAGTTCAGACTACTATACCCAGCAAAACTTTGAATCACCATTGATGGAGAAAACAAGATATTCTATGACAAAACCAAATTTAAACAATACCTATTCACAAACCCAGCCTTACAGAAAGTACTAGAAGGGAATCTCCAACCCAGTTAAGCTAACTACACCCCCTGATGGAGGAGGGTTATCTGTCTATTGTGTTATTTTCATTGGTCAATAAAGAGACTGCCTTGGCCCTTTGATAGGACAGAAAATTAGGTAGGCGGAGTAAACAGAATAGAATGCTGGGAAGAGGGCAATGGGGCAGATGCCATGGAGCCAGCCACCAGGTCAGACATGCTGAATCTTTTTCGGTAAGCCACCACCTCTTGGTGCGACACAGATTATTAGAAATGGGTTAATATCAAGATATGAGAGTTAGTCAGTAACTAACTCTCTAGAGATAATGGGCCAGGCAGTGCTTAAATGAATACAATTTGTGTGTTGTTATTTCTGGGACTAAGCTAGCCGTGCAGGAGCCGGGCAGGACGAAAAGCAGGCCTGCCCGCAACTCCTTACTACAACCCCCAAATTCACAGGCAACACATAATCTCACATCAAAAAACTCCAAAGAAGGGAAACACACAAACATCATCACCAAAAAAAAAAGCAGGAATTAACAATCACTGGTCATTAATATATCTTAATACCAGTGGACTCAATTCACCTATAAAAAGACACAAGCTAAGAGAATGGATATGAAAGCAGGATCCAATCTTTTGCTGTGCAACACACCTCAACCTCAAAGACAGATATTACCTCAGAGTAAAGGGTTGGTAAAAGATTTTCCAATCAAATGGACCCAAGAAACAAGCAGGTGTAGCTATCCTAATATCTAATAAAATAGACTTCAAACTAAAATCAATTAAAGAGATGGAGAAGGAGACTTCATATTCATCACAGGGAAAAATCAATTAAGATGATGTCTCAATCCTGAACATTTATGCCACAAACACAAGAGTACCCACATCTGAAAAGAAACATTACTAGAGATTAAAACCCACACCAAATCTCACACACTAATATAGGAGACTTCAATACCTCACTCTCCACAATGGACAGGTTTGCCAGACAGAAACTTAACAGAAAAATAAGGGAAGTAACAGATGCCATGACTCAAATGGAGTTAATAGACATCTGTAGAACATTTCACCCAAACACAAAAGAATATACCTTCTTCTTAACACCTCATGGAACCTTCCCTAAAACTGACCACATTCTTCCTAACAAAGCAAACCTCAACAGATTTAAAAAAAAAAAAGAATAACCTCCTGTATCTTATCGTATCACCATGGTTTAAAGTTAGAATTCAACAACACCACTAATTGCAAAAAACCTACAAACTTATGGAAATTGAACAGTGCTCAATTAAATCATCCCATTGGTCAAGGAAGAAATAGAGAAAGAAATTAAAGACTTCCCAGAATTCAATGAAAATGAAGTCACAATGTATCCAAACTTATGGAACATAATGAAAGCAGTGCTAAGAGGAAAGTTCACAGTACATAAAGAAAGCAGAG